ATTCACCAAAGAAAAAGATAGTGAGGTGGTTCAGTAACTATGCTGACATTAATTATTCATAAAGTGTGATTTCCTCCTTTTCTGTTATGGTGAATGAGCAATATTTTGGAAACCTGAGCAAGTGTTGGTTAACAGCTCAAAACTGAAGTGTAGTGCAGGTGATAAGAAAATTTGGCACCTATTTTTTTAAGAAGTATAACTGTCAATAATTTAAAGTGTCTGTTAAATCATTTGATACTAAAAACAATCACCAGCAATTAATATAATTTTCTATCATGAGTAACAAAAGAAGTCATCATCTCTTTCCTTCTCAATTTTATATACAAGGATTTCCTATATAATACGTATAACTGGTGCTTACAAATCTAAATCCCATACAATTTAATAGGTCATAGTTATACAAGTCTTTTTAATAAGGAATGTTTGAGACTTTGCTTCTTCAAAAATTTAAATGAAATAGTTTTTTTTAAGCAACTAGTTGTTAATCTTCTCTCTTATTTTTCACGTTCATGGTACATAAAAAGAGGAAAGGAATTCATAGTCTATTATGTACATTTGGCTTCCTTATGAGCTAGCACTGTAAATAGTCTTATATACACATAAGACCTCTTTCTGTGCTGTAGTGTCATCAATAAGTGAAAATTTCATTTAGTTGCATCTGAAGGTCCTCTACACTGTCAGCATGATAGAGCTGGAATTCAAAACCAGAGTATTTATAGCCCTATAGATAAGAGTGGGTTACGATAAAACTTTAAAAGGAAATTCCAACAAAAGCCTGGTTTTTGATTAAAGTGTTTGTCTTATTTCAGACTTCTGAGAGATTACTAGTTTATTATTGCAGACTTGTTTATGGTTTTAATAGTTGCCATTCCTCATAACATTTATAACTGTATGGAAAAATATTCTGAGTTGCAAGTACCAATCTGTCACTGGTAGTTATAGGGAAAATACCATATTTGTGAAACTTACAGAAAAGTCCTGTCCTTAGCTGTAGGATAATTAACTGAGAACACTCTTAGAGCTGGAAAGTCAAGCTGAAACACAAAACACTTCCTCTGTCGCTCCTTCCCCGTAAACCTACAAGTTGAGACATTTTGAGGTGACAGGACACTGTAAACATTTTTATTATTGTTAAAAGAAAAGATTCTTTTTTTTTCTCCAGCTTCTTTCATAACAAAGATGAAATTATTTTTCCTCTATCACCTCATAAGAAGTGAGTAGTAAGAAATACAGTATTGTCTTTCTTTTTAGTTTGAACCATTGGCAAAAAAAGAAGAGCACAAAAAGAACAAAATGAAATAAGATTGTAATTACTCTTGACTTTCAAGAAAGCACACTTCTCTTTCTTTGCAAGTAACTTTACCAATTGATTGTGATTCATTATTACAGACAAATTTAACTTTCTTCTTTGCTATTGTCTTCCTGTATTGTTTAGATGAAGAGCACTAGGAAAACCATGTGTAATCTTTCAACTATGTGAACGTATGTGCAAACTTTATGACTGTGAAAACAAATAAATCAATATTTAGGAAGCTCAGAACAAAAGACTAAAACCATTTATAGTGACTTGCATTAAGCAATTTACTTTGTGCTTATCATTGTTTAGCTAAGCTAATCATGGAAGATTAACCTTTAAAAATTTATATTGCAAAGTATGTTGATCCCATTCTTGGTTCTTAATGCTTTTAGCTCTATAAACAACATTTGACATTTACCAATAGTAATGTCATGGACAAATGTTCCACCATCCTGCAAATAACAAAGGTTTGAATTGTTTTCTCTTCCTTTTTTGAGGAAGGAATTGAAGATGGGCAGCAGTGGAGTCTTTTTTAATGGTGAATTAAATGATGACATTGCTGTAGATATTAGGCAAGCATTCAAATGCATTTGCAGGGGCCATTGTTTCCTCATTTATTTGAATGAAGCAAAAATACTTTAACGAACGTATGTGAGAAAAACTGGTTCTAGGGTGTGTTTTGATCCAAAATCACAGCGGCACCGAATTATGTGCATAGGTTTGAACCTCCAAGCAGTCTTATCACTTTTGCTGTGGTGTCTCATATGTTCACACCTACTTGTGATCTTTGCCTTCAGGTAGCACTGTAATATAAATAATCAATACTGAGAATGAAAAAGAAATACCAATAATCCATCATAGATGTTGTAGAAAGTTTAAGGACACTGGGTTTGGAGAGATTTTGTCAGTGATAGATGTAAGTTACCCTTTTAGATACCTAACTCAATGGAGCTTTTAAGGATATAATTAAGCCAGTTTTTCTCTGTTAGTGTTAAATCCAAACTAGAACTCGGCCAGGGCAGAAAATGGCAGTAGTTCCATTCCCATATCAAATATTATTCGTAACTAAATTCTTAGGAGAAATGGGGGCTACTGCAGCTTAACTTTCATTTTGAGAATTTCTTGGAGCTTCAGGAAGATTCCTGATTTGAGAAATGACTGTTAGGACACAGCATAGAATGAAAAAATGCAATACTTGCTCTTGTTAGGAGATATTGCTGCTGCATCTACACAGCTTGGCAGAAACTGTAAGACTAGGCTCTAGATCTGCAACCAGATGGGCTGGACCTGCCTCATCTGAAGAATTTGGGTTTATTATTTTGGTGAGGGACAACTTGGGGAGGAGAAGGAAGACAACTACTTAGGATCTCATGCAAGATTTAAAGGCTTTTCAGAAGTCCTACAGATTTCTTTTGTCCATTTTTTGCTGACACTGTTGAAGAACGTTATCAGATCACAATACAGCACTTTCCTTGGTAATGTCTTCTGAGTTGTTGTATCACACTAGTCCGAGTGGTCTAGAATTCTGTTTTTAATTTCAGCTAGTTCTTTAATCTTACTTCCTAGTACATGGTCATTTATCTCTAAGTAGCGAACAGCATAAAGCAAAACACCATATCAGTTTAACATAGTAATCAGAGGCTAACTTTAACAATGTGAGGCTAAACTGCTTCTGAAAAATGCTGTATGTCACTGCAAGTTATCCATATGACTACGTGCATATACAGAATATTCATATAAGATATATGTATACATTAAACATATGAAACACGTGTGATGTTAAGCATTTGGTTCCACTTAAGACCAACAGAAACTGAGGTTTCCAAACTCCGCACAGGAGGTTTGCACAGCATCCACTCATAGATACCTATTTCAGGGGCAAAATGTGGTCTTTCCTCTAGAGCTCTGAAAGTTTGGTTCCATAGGTGTGTTCAGAAAATGAGACTTCAAAAAGCTCTGGCTCTGTTTTTATTTACTGCTTCTTCAATCCATGATATTGGTTTTAATTCAGAACACTTTAACGGGGACTGTTTCTATTTTCTTTGTCAGTAGGCTGATAAACTATTATTACTATGGATCAAAACCTTTTCAATACAGTATTCCTAGTGGGTCACTAATTTTATGTTGAAATAAAAAACATTTTCCCTTTTTCTCCTGATAGGTATTCCTGATTCGTCTGTGTTAGACCGAACTTCTACTGTCTTTATTACTGATAAGACTTTCCTAAAACCAAAGAAATACTGACTATTCCCAGTCAAGCTTATAGTACAGAATGTATGGTTAAGGGAAATAAGACTTGCACAAATGTTATCCTCTTCCAAAGCATTAGTGTGTTACCTTTTGATTCTATGCTACTATTTGTTCTTTTTCCTTTGAAATTAATGGGGGAGGACTTCAGACTTACGGGCTTTTTAAAATGAAATGTTAGGCCTGTGGGCCATGGACTGGTGAGATATTAGACACTTTTTTACTTCCTTCTACACTACTTACAAAATGAGGAGAAATCATGCAGCTGACCACATTACAGCTACTTAATGCTTCTGTAAATAGATCATAATAAGTATGTGGTGTATGTGATTGTCTGTGCTGATAAATGAAAGGGTATGGATTGTTCAGCACCAGTGGAAGGAGAGGAACAAGAAAAAAACCTTCCTGATTGCAGCTGCAAATAGCAGCAATTTTTCCTTCCTGCATTAATGAACGTAATTCATGGAATGCATATTACTTCATTCAACAGCAAAATTCTCACATTCAGTTCACAGACATAAAGTATTTTAATAAAGAATATCAATGAGTAAAGACAATCCACTTCCAGAAAAAGCAAAGAAAGACGTTTCTTTGGCCATGTAGGAGCTGTGATGCAATTATCAGTGTAATGAATTCACTTTCCTAAAACTCTTTACCAAAAGAATAACCTTTAAGCCACGTTCTATTTGTCTGTTTTCCCCTTCTAACCTTCCTTTACATGCAGTATTTGACTGCAGACTTGCATTTTACAGTCTCTAGTGATCAAATCACTTCATCCTCTATAAACATCACAAATTAAAGGAGCTTTCAGCAACTGAACTCCAACACAACATAACATACACAAAACTAAAATAATTCATTGTCTAGAGACCATAACAAATTTTAATGTGCATTTACAGAGTAAACAGAGGGCTGAAAGGGGTCAAACCAGTGGAAGTGAAGGTATGTATTACAAAATCCACATAGTACTGAATTACAAATTAAAAAGCGAATTTTTGTCAAAAAAGGAAATAAATATGTCTATTGGTGGCACGACATATAGATAATATTAAAAACTGGCTTGCATGAGGACCAAAGTATGTCTACTCTGAAGTTATATCACACAGACTGTAAGCAATTTACAGAATTTAAGTTAGTTTTGCATATACAGGAGTTGCAAAATTAGAGAAAACACACTGAAATATAGAACGCACACAAAAAAAATGATGTATATATAAACCTCCACGCAGTTGTCAGGGGTTGGCCTAAGTCAGTAATTGCCGCCATTGAACAAGAAACAAATAAAAAAGACAGGAAAAAAATCCCACAGAGGGAAAAGAATAATTAAAACCCCCCCAAACAACTCAAAAGAAAAATATCCTCATTTGTTTTCCAGAAACAACGTCTTCTAGTCTGCTCATCTATTTTGTGGAATTTCTTTTCTCCTTCCTATTCCTCATGAAAAAAAAAAAGGCTTTTTGATAAAGTTTGTGGGGTGTTTTATTGGGGTCGATGTTAAATCACTCTGTTTTCTTTCATTATTTGGCCTCTCTTTGCTTCCAGGCTGGAACGGTTCTTTCAGCGTAGGAAACCAAATGTCATCCATGGTTAATTCTGTAATACTGATGACTTGCAGGCCAACCCCTGAGAAGTCAAGGATGAGGCTTCTCCTTGCCGAAAGAAAAGGAAACTAGGACTTGCTGTTACAAAATGTTTGATTACATCACACCAGTTCTCTTCAAATAAAAGATCAGTGATACGCCAAAGAAAATAAGATATATCAAGAAAACGTGATATCCTCTTCTTTTTATAATATTTATTTATTTATTTATTTTATTTAGTATTTTTGTTTGTACTTCCTGAAGAAGGTGCTCCTTGTGTAGAGATTTAGAGTACATTGGGTGCAGAGTGGTGGTTGGAGGTTAGGGTCAACTTTGCTGTCCGCTCCGTGGATTTTACAGGCGATTTGCTCTTTGCTTTAAGAAGAGAAAGTGATATTGGAAAAAGTCAGCACTTTTAGATTAAAGCAAAGCACCCTTCACAAAGCCACAAACAAGAAGCAGGACAGAAAGTCCATGGCTTGTAGCTATCCTCGCACCTGCGGAAGAAGTTATAAGATATTCGCTCATCTTGCAGATTTCCAATGCTCCTTATAAGGCTGTTTTAAACACATACATTTATATATTTAATTAGCTCGCCAGGTTGGCTCTGGTGCCCATGAATGTCTTGGCATGCACTGCAAATAACAACACATACAAAGTATTTCAGTCCCAGGGAGGTGTGGGGTTTTTTTTCTGTTTTGCTTTGCTTTTGTTTCTTTCTGTCTTTTTAAACAACATTATCCAGTAAAACCATATACCAAGAGGAACAAACCCAACCACTTTCCACCTCAGAGTGTTCTTTACAAAATCATTTCCAGCATCACATCATTGACTGCCAACAAAAAAGTCATCTAGTGGCTAAAGAGTGTTTTCTTGTAAAACAGAGGAGATACTGGCGAATGGCTGTGCTATTTACAGGGGGCAAACAGAATGCTAAAAAGATTTGAAGCACTTATTTTTGAGAAACTATATTTTCCCAGATTTTTTTTCTTATTAAAAAGCTATGAAAACAATGGTACATATCATTATTTCTAAAACCGTGACTTTATATTTTAAATACATTATCAGAACAAAAACAATTAGAACTAGACTAATTAAACTGAAACGTTTGCATACCAAGGACACAAGTATTTAGATGTCTCACATACCAAGTCTCAGTGCTTGATAACTCCCTATATCGTAAAGAATTACATTCAATTGAATTACATTCAATATGTTTGAAACATATTACTTGAGATGAAAACTATAAATATAATTAAATTATATTAGAATTATATAGTTCCAATTATAACAGGTTAATGCATGATTAATAGATTTTATAGCTGTGTTGTATACTTGAAAAGGATGAATGTTACTGATGGTTACAGGCATCAATTCTATAACAAAGTAATAATAGTGTTATAAGCTGTTCATTGTAATGCTGGACTTTTACTAACTGGTTATTTAAAAAAATCTATTAACCATGTATAAGCTATTTTTGTGAAGAATTTAATATTAAACTGAATGCTGGATTCCACTGAAGCCTCAAAAAGCCCATTTATCTTCTCATCAAGAATATACACAATGAAAGCAAAAGAACTCAAGGCAAATCCTCATTTTTAAAAGTTTTCAGACATTTATCAGTAGAACATTTATCTGTATCTGCTGTTTATAAATGTAGCTAGAGGTATTTCTATTCCTGTCCTTAGTAAATTTTTCCCCTCAAAACAGGGATTAAACTAAATCCCAGATCTCTGAACACTGCTTCCTTTTGTAAATACATGGTGTAAGACATTGCATACATAGTAGTGGCCATAAAAGACTCTTAGTCCTCTGTCACATACACAAGAGCTTCTAAGTAACAGTGACATTTCAATTATCCATGTGTGAACTGAATTTCTAAATGAATATTAACTTTTAAGTGGAAACATGTCTCAAAGACATTACTAAGATTTTTCAAAGAAATCCAAAGGAACTCTGAGCTTACTTCCTGC